AATGTGATACATGTGCCACCAGAAGCCAGTCTCAGTAGTTTGAGTCATAATGGTACAATAACACAATAGGGTCAAGCTAAAAAGGCTCCCTTATGAAATTTTTATCAGCAACTTTAGTAAATTGCTGTGGGATAGGTGCACTGCTCTCCTGTAGACCTGGAACCTGTTTTTACAAGGTGCAGGCTGAATGTATTGCATCAGTCCCACAAGTTATTAAGGGCACTCCAATTGAATTAACACCAAATCAAGCCAGTGCACTTAACAATACAAATGCACTTAAGGGATGCCTCAGAATGATTTGTGACTAAAGAAAGTAAAAAGAGAACGGCCTTTAAGACCACAGAGGTGGTGTTGAGTGTCATATACAGGAAAAGCCATAAGCAGAACTTAGAATACCGGAAAAACCATGAACTTCAGGGGCTCTCAGATACCTTTAGAGCCAGCTACGTAGATGGTATTTTGCTGTATTAGAAAAACAACTGATAAATAAATTACAGACAATATTCTTAGTGGCACAGTCTGCATTACTTCTGACAACCAAATATCTAACTACTGCTAATATAATCGCAGTTAGTAAAAAAAGTAAAAAGCATCATATTACAATTTCATACAGAAGACATTGCCCCTGCTTTTTAAGTTAGTAAAGACAATATGTTGCTATATTTTTAAACAGATAAAAATAACAAGGTGCATACAAAATGCAGGACAGTACTGTAGGTGGAAGTAAACTTTATGAGTGCATAGCTGCTTGCTTCTGTACCTATAGCATTTTGTCTGTACTGCCGGTCTGCCTGAACATGGTAGCCATTTGCAAAGCACTTTAATTCTTTAAAGCCCATAAACCAGTGGCATCGTCTTCTTTTAAAGTATATCTAAATATAAAATATTTTAGTATAGAGTATTTTAAAAACCCTGCCCAGTTTTAATTGCTATTAAAAAATACTTTATTAATTCACACAGTATAAAAATTATGAATGTGCATCCCCTAGCCCAAAAAAATCCCACTATTTTAATAAAATAATGTGACAATGTTAGTAGAACCAAAAGAGTTAGCTCTGCGGCAAACACTAATGCTCTCAGTTGCCAAAGGCTGGCCTGAAGAGTCCATCTCCACTTAATATATTGCTGTAGGTATTTTACAGAAGACTACACACTGATTACATTATTCTGCATAAAAATAGTTTTTTTTACTTTGGCAGAAGTGACATACTTGAAGTCCCTATCTAAAGCTATGCCTCACTAAGACACTTCACCCTGATTGGGCTTAATCGCAGAGATAGGAGAGGCTGGAGAAAAGGGGGTACTGACATATAATCAAAAAGAGCAACAATATTGACAATCATTAGCAAAAGGCATCACTAACTTAGAGACACACATTAAAATGCTCTCTTCAAACTGAATATAGTAAATGGAATCCTGAGGTAAATTAAACTAGTGCTCAAAAGAAAAAGACCTGTGACTAAATAAACAGAACAAAACCAAGCACAATTATGCACACATCACCAGGGTAGGAGAAATGAGAGGGAAGGGTTTTTTATGGAAGGGAAAGAAAGAAAAGAGAAAAGAAAGAGGAGGAAATTATTGTAATTAAATCACATTCATAATAATGCGTTTTATTCCATTCATAACTCACCCTTCAAGGTAAACAAATATCTGATCTAATGATCCAGTATACTTCTACTCTGTTCAACAGTGAAAAATGGTCACTTCCCCTAATGGGATAATCTATCCTTCAGTCAATAATGCAGCTATCTGGTTGTCCTTCTACATATTGTGCATGAGATAACATATAGTATACACCTCTAGTCCAGGGTTTACACATCCTCAAAAGTTCCTTTCTGTGTTCTTAGCTTTGACATAAGCCTTGGTGATATTTGCTTTATTGTAACCCAGATTTAAGATCCTCCTCTCCATGACAGAGGCCCTGCTCTCAAAGTTATCTGAAGTGAAGCAATTCTTATATCCATTAATTGGTCCTATTTTAATGTGCATAGGATGGTAACTATGAACACTGAGAGGGGAATTCCTCAAAGTCAACATACAATACATTTTCATAAATTTGGTGATCCATGGTGAATCCACTCAGGGTTAAATCCAAATAATTGGATCTGAGATTGACTTCACTGTTATTTAAATACTCTAGACAGTAAACAACAGATAGATCCTGATGTTCAATAAATATCAGATCATCTATATCAGGGGTCTTCAAACTTCTGAAACAAAGGGCCAATGTTCTGCCCTTTAAATATTAGGGGGGCCGGACTGTTTCCAGAGGAAGTAGAAAATGCCCTGGCATTGGTGGGAGCAAACAATGCCATAGGCTTGGTGGTCAGTGGGAGTAAAAAAATAAATAAAATAAATTATTGGTGTCAGTAGGAGACTTAGTACACCATCTATGGTGGTAGTCCAATGGGAGGAATAGTGCCCTGTCTTTTGTGTCATTGGAAGACATAGTACCTCATATCAGTGGAAGGAATAGTTCTCCAAAGCAAAGATAAAAGCAAGCAAAGGGCCAAATCTGGCCCTCAGGCTGCAGTTTGGAGACCCCTGATCTATATACTGGGAAAAGAAGCTTATCTAGGTTGGTGGGAGGAGTAGTATCTCCAACCACTCCTCCATCCAACCTATATATAGGTTGGCTTATGTGGTCACAGATTGTGCACCCATTTAAGAACCACACCTTTTGAAGGTACCAACAACTATCAAACAAAAAATAATGGTGTGTTAATGAAAAGCAAACTTCCTTCCATTTTCTGGCTCGTAGGCAAGGGGGGCAAAAAAGTACAATAGGTGGACACTACCCAATTGACTGCAGGATAAATTATCTCATTAGGTGAGGTGACCATTTTTCAATATTGAGCTAAATAAAAGTATATTGGATCAATAGACTAAATACTCGTATGCCTAGAGGGATGAATTTTAAATTGGATATAAAGAATGAATATGAATGAAATTTGGTTAAATAACTTCCTCCTCTCTTTTTTTTGTCTTTTTCCTCTTTTCCTTTTCTTTTCCTTTCCTTTCTCCTCCCCCATTCCCTCTTTCGTATGCACCCGTTATGTTTCTCTCCCCTTCCATATACCCCACTCCTTTCCCCTTTCCTCCCTCTCTACACCCCCCCCCCATTCCTTTCACCCCTTTTTCCTTTTACTTCTTTTTCATTTCCATTTAATATAAAAATCTTATTTCAACAGTCCTTCCTTTAGAGCATGCTCTTGTTGTCAATATATGTTTACAACTCTGTTTATCTATTTATCTCTCTATTTGTCCATTTTTTAGATTTTTGAATTTTTAGTAATAATAAAGAATGCATTTTTTATTTGATGGAGAATCAGTGGTATCAATAATATATACATACTGCAAATATACAGTAAGGCAATTTTGACATTGCAGAGACACATGACTGCCTTAAGATAATTTTTTGCATTGATAAATTTGACATAGAACATTGAATACCCTTCTGGTATTGCACTTGACTTATGCAAATTTGTGCATGTTTGATTTTACTTTGTTATTTGCTGTCAGGTATTTTTTATATTGTATGAGAACACTGGACATTGAGCATTTTTCTGTGTATAGCTGTAAACAGTGTAATACATTGAGATTTTCATGGATTATATATCAAACATTCCATGTTTATGAATCATCAGAACATTTAAAATCATCATCTAAAGCCACATAGGCCAACACAAGAATTTATTAGATTGCTAAATATATGCTAGGATGAATCACCATGACCAGTGTATCAAATAAGAAATATAGCTACATATAAAGGCAAGTCCACCATGTGGTCCACATAACACTCAGCACATATGCAAACATTTGCACAACAGTACACATGTCAGTATTGCCAATAAAGTGTCACTAAACCCACAACAGTAAAATCAGTCTGTATATGCAGTAAAGCATGCTTGTTATACTCAAATTGTGTTGTAAAAAGGCTATGGATAAGGGGAAAGTGGGAGGTGGAGAGAAAATAACTCTCCCAATCCTTGTATAACGGTTCTACTGGTACCACACCTCTAATGGAATAATTGAAACAACCCTAACCTGAAAAGCTAATGGGGCTTTAAAAGTACTATACTGTACCAGTACAAATGAAGTGAAAACATGAAAATAGTAGATAAAAATTAAAACCTTTTTATTAGGTTAAAAAACCACCTATTGGTGGAAAAAGTTTAGTCAGACATAGATACAAAAAGGCATGTAGTCAGACATAGATACAAAAAGGCATGTAGTCAGACATAGACACAAAAAGGCATATAATTGAAATGAGCAAGTGGTGGCTATAGTAGGCGAGGGTCGATGCCCAAGACGTGGAAGGCATCACGGGCATCGGCAATGGTGAACAACAGCCACTAACTTAGAGTAAGAAAGACTCAACTGCACAGATAGTATATAGAATTGTAAATGGTTATCAGTGAAAATATATACATATACAGACAAAAAACGCCCAACCGTCTCCACTTCTTCAGGGAAAGAGGGCAAAACATGAGTATCTACAATAAATCAAAGAAAAAGAAAAGAAACAAAAACATATAATCAATAAATGGTATAAGCAAGTGCAAATATATACAGAACATTCTGTTGTATATATTTGCACTTGTTTATACCTTTTATTGATTATATGTTTTTGGCTTGTTTTTCATCCCACGAAACGCGTTGGAATCTATAACGCAAAGCATTTTTCATGGTTTCAAGTGGAGACTGTATTAAAAGTTTCATCAACATCTATTATGTCCTATGGTTGGGCATTTTTTGTCTGTATATGTATATATTTCCACTGATAACCATTTACCATTCTATATACTATCTGTACAGTTGAGTCTAACTTACACTAGTGGCTGTAGTTTGCTTTCAGCGCTGTCACACTTTGAATGACAATTGCGCGGTCAGGCAACACTGTACCCATATGAAATAGGTGGCACTGATGGGCACTGATGAGGAGGCACTGGTAGGTGACACTGATAGGCATTGACAGGCATCACTGATGGGCACTGAAAAGGCAGCACTGATACATGGCACTGATAGGCGGCACTGATAGGTGGCACTGATAGGCGGCACTGACTGGCACTGTTAGGTGGCACTGGACTGGCACTGTTAGGTGGCACTGACTGGCACTGATAGGTGGCACTGACTGGCACTGATAGGCGGCACTGACTGGCACTGATAGGCGGCACTGATTTGCAGCACTGATGGGCATTGACAGGCATCACTGATGGGCACTGAAAGGCAGCACTGATACATGGCACTGATAGGCGGCACTGACTGGCACTAATAGGTGGCACTGATTGGCAGCACTGATAGGTGGCACTGACTGGCACTGATGGGTGACACTGAAAGGCAGCTCAAATGGGCACTGATATGTGGCATTGATGTGCACTGGTAGGCACTGATATGTGGCATTGATGTGGCACTGATGGACACTGACAGCTGGCACTGCTGGGGCTACACTGATCATCAGGGCACACTGATCATCAGTGCCCTGATGATCAGTGTACATGTCCCCTCCGCTGAAAGCCAATTACCAGCTCTCCTCTCCTCTGTCAGCGTGACAGCTCGAGAGGAGAGAAATGCCGATAACCGGCATTTCCCTGTTTACATGTGATCAGCTGTGATTGGACACAGCTAATCACATGACCGAGCCGACATCTTCGACTCTTTCCGTGATCGGTGATCCGCTGTGTCCGAGGGACACAGCACATCGCCACGCATGCGCGGAAAATGGGTGGACGTCATATGAGCCAGTCACGGCAAGTGATGTATTCTATTAATGCATACAGAGCCTGCTCGGATTGGCTGTGTCAGAGAGGCGGGCTGATGATGTCACAACTTCAGCCAATCCGAGCAGGCTCTGTATTCATTAATAGAATACATTGCTCGCCGTGATTGGCTCAGCGCGGTACACTGTATGTAGCTGAAGCTACCATACAGTATTATCGCACATCCAGCGTTCTATACCCGGCGTATAAGATGACCCCCAATTGTTGGGGTATGTTTTTTAAGTAAAAAAAGTCATCTTATACGCTGGAAAATAATACGGTACTATTTTCATGTTTTCACTTCATTTGTACTGGTATGGTACCTTTAAAGCCCCATTAGCTTTTCAGGTTAGGGTTTTTGTTTCAATTCTGTAAAAAAGCTGTTTAATCCTGACTTCTCTGCTCCTCCTTTGTTCAAATGTTCACACCTTATCTGCTGATAGGACAAACTGAACCGCAGCCATTCTGCACATGCTCAGTTTACTGTGTATCGCTAGAGAGGTTTTTTTTTGGTTTTGGTTTTTTTTTTGTGGGAGAGTGCATGTGATCAGCACAGGGCCAATCAGCACTGTCCAGACAGAGGTCAGGGATTTTGCATCCTCCTAGAGCAGAAAGAAAACTCCTCCTACAAGCTTTAACCAGTGCTCTGCTGAACACTGATAGAAGTGACAAGACTGCTCTAACTGCTGATGAGAAAAAGTATTTAGCAGTTTATATTTACTAAAATAATTGCATTTCCATGTCCTGTGTACTGTGGGAGACCAGATATAGTGAATGCAGGGTTCCTGGGTTTAGTAAGAGTTCATACGAATATATATATGCACTATCAGTAAACACTTACCATTCCCTCTGTGGTTGAAAAGCATTGAGAATTCCCACACATAAGGCTACATAACAAGTTTAAAGTCTACTCTCAGATTGGCAGACCAGAAAAATAATTCAATTATTATGCAATTGCAGCACAATGGGTGATAAAAATTGAAGGATCATCTAGTAGGGTCTAAGTATGTTCCATCAGGGAAAAATATGTGGCTAGGAAAACGTTCTTTTCAGCGCACTACCAATGTGTAAAATGTGCATTTGTAGATAAAACCAAAGTATTTTTCAGTACTGATTGATATTGGTCTATTGCAATTAAGTAACTTGTCTATTGTAAAACCACAAGAGCAAGCTACCATGTTTGTTGTCCTTATGAAAAATAATATAAATATATATTTATATTAAAAATAACATATTGTTAAGACCAAATGTGAATTGTGCATTAGGAAATGTCAGACATTATGATTGGGAAAACCACAAGCCCACTAGCACAACTTTTTGAGAGTTTTCATGGTCCTAATCCTCAGGGTTTAAACGTAATGGAGACTTACCAATTGCATTGGCTGTCAGACGGGGGTGACTTTGATGCTGAATTGCTCAAAAAAAGAGACTTGTACATCAACTGTATATATTAGGAAAACGTGCCTCTGCTGAGTTTGATACATTTTTAAGATTTCAGTTGGCTGTTGGGTTGATGAGCCTTCCCTCTCTACTTGCTTTCCCTTTACTGCCTGTATACTGCAGACTCACACTTTAGAGACTCTTGATAGCAATGCTACTTGCTTAATTATACATGCTCCTGTTGTTTAAAAGGATGTATATGTACATATGTAATTACCATTAGTCAGACCTTAACAAAAATCCACGTGGAACTGAGCAAATTGCATTGGTCTTTGACTTACTGATCGTGCTAACAACCTGCACTCTAGCATAATGCAGGTCTATGGCTGAACAACTGTGCAGTGACCTTCTGTAAGGCTGATCAGACCACCACTATGTGTGTAAAAAGACTGCCACAGCTGACCCTCCATTGAAGTCTGCTGTAAGATGTGAAAATTACTGAATGCATTCACTACAGAATGGTAATGCACTTACCCAATATGCAGGATTTAGAAATTCAAAATGCCAGGAAATTATGTGTGTGACTCTGAAATGGATTGATGCCAACCCGAGAGTAGACTTTGAACTTTGTGCAGCTTAATGTATGGGAGGTCTCCATTCTTTTCAAGCTTTTTGGCAGCCAATATATGTTCATATGAATTTTGTGATGATGTTGACATGTATGCTAATGTGCTATTTTCTCCATATGTGCTGACCTTTTAAGTTATATGGATTTGCTGCTTCTCTTCAGGGATGTGCCTTTGTGGTTTGAGCTGAGGTTTTTAAGTGTCCTAAGGGTTCAAAAACATCTAATTTTTGAAACATAATTCAAGATTATCTATGAATTTGGTATAAGGGATTGTACATTCAAGATTTCATCATGTAAATTAATAAAGTATTTTTTTAATACTATTTCCTTATACCCTTTCTTTTCTTTGTATTGCATTGTCAATTTCAGTATGAGACCTCTGGAACCTATACACAATATACTGTACATATTATAGATTCTGTTTCTACCCTGAATCAATGGTGGATTTTTTTTTGCATTTAGAACAGTTTTTGTTATTGACTACATCGACGCTGAAGAGATTCATTTTATTTTTTTATTCTGGTGACCATTATCACAGCAACAAAGTGTATTCCAATAGGGATACCTTTTCCAATTGTCCAAAAGAGGATTTACTTTTACTTTAGAGATACTTATTCTAAATTCCTGATGTATCTCCAAAACAGAAAGTGAAATGAAAACTCCCCAGTGGAATACAAACAAAAAAAGAAAAGATTTCTAACCATTCCACTACTACTACTACTACTACTACTCTATGCAAAACTAGAAAAAAAGTTTGGGCTTTAGGTATACGTTAATCCCATTGCCACTGATTTCTTCACTTAAGCAACTGAGGCTTTGGAGAAGTATGGAGTAATCATAGCTGCCTGATAAAACTTCCATTCTTCTGCAGTACTTTTTAGAACCACCCTCTTCCTCATGGTACTCTCCCTCTCATGCAACTGTCAGTGTTTTAAGAGGTTTGTACCCCTTTACAAATGTGTGTTGGAAATGGGACAAATTAAGGTATTCTCTAGCATGAAACCTAATTTCAGTAGATGTTGTACTCAGCTATTCAGCTTTTGTAGATTAAGACATTTATGTACAACCCCGTTACAGCTTTTAGTGTTCTTTTGCATCCATGTATTCATATGATGGATTTATTTCATAAGTCTTGTTCAATGCAGTTGTTGTCTGTGTTGTTTTGGCCAAGATAGATTCATGTTTCATCATATTGCCATGATGTGGAGTAGCTTTAAGCCATGAAGAAACTCCATTTTATAAAGACTTTGTATTGTTTTTTATGACTGTTACTATTACAAAGCTACGCTATTTAATTGAGGAGCTATGCACACAGTCACACAACCCAACAGTGTTTTTAGACAGCTTCGCAACATTCTACTAAATGGGTAATGGCATTCACCAAGTGATTTGCCAAAGGTTAAACATCAAAGATAATTAGGTAAAGAAATTTTTGACAGGTGTGATTTTGATGTCTTAGTCATTACACTGGAGGTAATCCCAATTTGAAAAACAAGATAAAGCAAAGGGCTTGAATTTTATTTTGGATGGCTGATCACCCTGTGTACCTTCATCCAAGAAAGATATCTGATAGTAAAGCTATGCACTGGCAAACATCATGGTTTCTGAATCATAGTACTTAGCCTCTCTGCAATAATATACATTATGTACCCTGCTCTGTATTTTGCTATTGATTTTTGTAAGATATCTGCCTTATTCTGTGGATTACTAAAGACTGTAGCATTAAATATATTAAGTACCTAAACTCTAATAGGCAAAATTAAATTATACATTGCCACTAGAGATGAGCGAATTATTCAAAAATTCGATTCGGCTGATTCGCCGAATTTGCGGGAGAAATTCGATTCGATGCAAATTTATTCGCCGCGAATTTAACTTATTTAAAGGGGGTTTTCTAGGCTTCAGAGAGCCTTTATATTAGTGCAGAACACTGTACCTTTAATTTAAATGCCCTTGGAGTCTTGGGGAAGAGAAATAATACTGTCAGTCAGTATGACATGCAGATGAGTGCCGTCGATCTTAGAATCACCGCACACTTCACTCATTTGGGCAGTCACGGGGCACGACGAAGAAGAAGAAGAAGAAGAATGAAAAGAAGAAGAATGAAAAGAAGAAGAAGAAGAAGAAGAATGAAAAGAAGAAGAATGAAAAGAAGAAGAAGAAGAAGAATGAAAAGAAGAAGAAGAAGAAAAAGAAGAAGGATGAAAAAGAAGAAGAAGAAGAATGAAAAGAAGAAGAAGAAGAAGAAGAAGAAGAATGAAAAGAAAAGAAGAAGAAGGAAAAGAAGAAGGAAAAGAAGAAGGAAAAGAAGAAGAAGAAGAATGAAAAGAAGAATGAAAAGAAGAAGAAGAAGAATGAAAAGAAGAAGAAGAAGAAGAATGAAAAGAAGAAGAAGAATGAAAAGAAGAAGAAGAAGAATGAAAAGAAGAATGAGAAGAAGAATGAAAAAAGAAGAAGAAGAAGAAGAAGAATGAAAAGAAGAATGAGAAGAAGAATGAAAAGAAGAATTAAAAGAAGAATGAGAAGAATGAAAAGAAGAAGAAGAAGAAGAAGAATGAAAAGAAGAATGAAAAGAAGAAGAAGAAGAAGAATGAAAAGAATGAAAAGAAGAAGAAGAAGAATGAAAAGAAGAATGAAAAGAAGAATGAAAAGAAGAAGAATG